TGTGTGTGTGTGTGTGTGTGTGTGTGCGCGCGCGCGAGTCTGTACAGGTGCATACATGCGTGTGCATTTGCATGTGCATATGTGTGTGTCTGTACAAGTGTGTATGTGCGTCCATGGGTGGAGGCAAGTTCATGTGCCAGTTGCACAATGACGATGCACATGCAACTTATCTAAGCAAACAGACAATACAAATGTATAAGTGCGCTCTTTGAAGAATAACCACAGTAAACATTTGGCCTTAATAAGTCATGACAAAACAAAATATTGGCAAATAGGCTGGACTTAAATAGCCATTAGACATTCCTAAATGACAATAAAGGGAATTGGATGATGATGGAAAAGAGAGAGAGAGAGAGAGAGAGAGAGAGAGAGAGAGAGAGAGAGAGAGAGAGAGAGAGAGAGAGAGAGAGAGAGAGAGAGAGAGAGAGAGAGAGAGAGAGAGAGAGAAAGTAATAGGGAGAGGTGAGGAGAAGAAAGGTAAAAAGAGAGATGGAAGTGGGGAGGGACTGCAAGGAAGGAGGGATTGGAGGGAATGAAGAGAATAGGACAGATAGATGGATGGATGGAGAGAGGGAAAGAGGGAGAGAGGGAAAGAGGAGTAGAGTTAGATGAATGAACATAACAGGAAAAACACATCTCTTGTATGGTGCCTAGAGGAATTCTACACTAAATCAGAACACATGATCAAACAGTAATCTTGATAGATGAACGTCCATTCACATTTGTATCAAAAGGCAAATTCTGGCAAACATTCTTTCAAATCCTTGCAGAACATGGACTCTTCCTTCCACAGAGAAATTTTGTGGTGAACTGTCTGAATATCTATCAGAGAGAGAAAAGAGGGAGAGTGTTTTAAAAAATGAACACAAGTTTATTAACTACATTTACTCACATCTTACTTTTAGATACTCACTAGATATCTCTATAATATAATATGACCTCCCCATACTTCATTCCAGTTGCAAGCTATTAATAAGGAAATGTATATAAAGACCTCAAGAATCCATTTTCTTCCCTTTTTAACTATCTGTGCGCATACTGACCAAATCCTGCAATCTAGAATTATAAACTTTTTATAAAGGCATTCACATACAAAAAGGGGGTAATAAGTGGAGGAAACTACAGACAATGTTCAAGAGAGAGAAAGTAGCAAAGGTTTCCACAGCACAAAGAGCATAATACATTTGCACAGCTGCTCACATGCAAGTACACCCATGAATCGGCCACAAACCTCCTTCTCTCTGTTGATCAGTTGTTCCTGGATCTTGACGAGCTCTTGCTGCAGCTGCTGAGACTCTGCCTGATCCTGAGTTTCCTGGTTAGACCGGCTGGAGCGCAACTCGTGCAACTCCGACTCTAGACTAACCTGGTGAGGTGATGAATGGTGTTATGGATTCTGGCAGTTTTACCCTTTTCAATGTCTAGACAAAATCATCAATTACTGCATTATGATTGTGATATCTCATTCTGCAATTCACATGTTGCATGAAAAGAAGAAGCTAATTTTCTAATAAAACCACTTCCTTGATTTGGCTTTGCAATATGACTTATCCATGCTGTGTATAATGAAATGTGCCATTGATGTTTTAATAACTAGTCTTTTGCATTACAGTTAAGGAATAGGTCTATTTAAATATATGGAAGTATCAATATTCAATAACTTTTATGGAAACTTGTATGTCTAAACATCTTAGTACTCATTAAAGAAGTCAAAAAAAAAACAAAAAAAAAACTAACAGGATATCATTTCATATAAAAGGTAAATATGCCAGGCAGTATTTCTAAACATACTCACAACAACACACAACAACGTTATCACTTTCAAAGGACCTCACCTTTTCAGCTTGTAGGGTATCCAGAGTCGCTCTCAACTCTGCTCTTTCCACCGCAAAGTCGGAGGCACGAGATTCCAGCATGTCTTTCTCGGAGCGCAAGGAACTGTTCAACTCTAGGGACTCAGTCAGCTGCTTCCGTAACAGGACCACTTCTGATGTCAGCATTGTCTTGGATTCTTCCAAAGCATCTAATTGTGACTTTCAGAAAAAAGGGGATAAAGATTCATTGATGATATCTATAACTACATGAAAGGAAAAATCACATGAAAAATAGAGGTAGTATCCAATAATTATCACCTGTTATGTCAACCAAAAACTGCAAAAAGGCCTATCGGTACATCACACCAACCCATATATGTGTAGCAAATGAATCATTATTCCTCAATGAGAGACACAGATCAGTTTACAATATAAAATGAGATATTTCTCCTATCCCTTAAGGCTTTGGGTCAATTAATCACTCTCAAGACAATCTGAAATATTTCCACATTTAATAACCAATTAATTTTGAATCTATTAATAGCAACGTCAATGTGTATCTAAAAATTATGTAGGGTATGTATACTCCCTTCTTTTTTGCTGGAAGAACTTTTACCTAAATGAGGATATAACTTACAAAGGCAGAAAAAAAGAGGACCTGAGACCTTATTTCCTCACTGTACACAGCCTAAGCTTGACATTCAACATAGAAAAATAGACAGGAGGAAGATATCATATCTCCATCATCATTATAATAATAATACAAAAAGAAAAAGAAAAAGAAAAGAAATACCTTGTGAACAAAATTCTCTTCTCCTTCATCTTTCTTTTTGAAGGCTTCTTGTAACCTCTCAACTTCCTTCTTCAACTCCTCAGAATACCAGCGTTCCTCCCTCAGGGTGGTTGAAAGTTCATTCAACTCTTCCCGTAGCGTCTCGAGGCTGTGGCCGCTTGTGTCTTAGAATGATACATTGAGTGATATTTAATTTCTCTTGGATGTGATCATTTCCATTTCCAAAGCAATAATGTATTTTAATTTTTTTCTATTATTTTTGTTTTTGTCTCTTTTTAAATCAGTATTGTAAACAAAAAAGATACAACACAAAAACAAGTTGTGAACAAGATTTTTTTGTCTTTTGAGTTAATTATGCAACTGGTCCCACAAACATTTATTTGTATGCACTACTGACATTGCATATCATAACTAATCCAGATATGCATTTGCAGTAAAAGTAAATCTTACCTTTGACACCATGGATAGTACTATAATGCTTCTCCAATTCCTGCTGCGAGTTGAGCCGTGCTTTGCACACAGGGCACAGGTAATTGGCTGACGGTTCAATGTGTTCCGCTTCATAATGATCCTGCAGCAGCTCTGGTTTTGGGAAGCTCATGTAACACGTTGGACACAAGAAGCCCTCCACGGCATCTCCAGGACCATCTTCAGCTCTTTCGCCTTCCGCGCCTCCCTGACCTGCTGTTTGAGGGCCTACTTCCCTCACAACCTGACAAAATCAAAAGACTGCAACTGCACTACCCTATAAGACTATATATTAATAAAATATGTAAAGCCTGCTCTACTTTCTTTCCTATTATAGAAAATATAAATTTTGCTAAACAAGCACTAAACATTTAGGACTAAATTAATGCTAACTTACCCTGTTCATGAAACTCTTAAGCGAATTCATAGCTGCAGGTTTTCTAGCGGTCTCCAAGGGATCAGGTCCTGTATGGAAAGAAAAGCTAAAATTCAAAAAAAAAAAGGAATGGAATCATGTGTCTAGGTTTTTATGTGCAGGGGGTGGGGGGGTCTCATTTCAGGTAACCATAAGTAAATAATTATATTTTCCTTATATTTTTAGATATATATTTACAACTGCATGTGCACAACTGACAAACTACATTGCTGGAAACTCATAGTTATGGAAATTTGAGCCCATGTTATTTTTTCCTAATCTCATATCCACATTTCACATTCCCTTTAAGTACATCTGTTCCAAATCAGCCATAAATGTTTTTTTCTTCTTTTTATTCAGAAGTTAAAACCCTTCTGGAGTCTGAACCCAGTATGGTGCTGCCCTTAATCCTAATACTATTTGCTTCTGCGTGGTCAAACTTTTGTTTCCCTCCACCTCCTAGTGTTTCTTGCAATTCCACATCTCATCCACCCTGAAAACTAAAATGAAGACAGTTATATGATGCTTAGGAACAATTTGGATCCTTGCACTAGGAAAAAATATTTTTAGCAAAGGTCAATGAACCCAAATTTTGGTGATCTATCAGCAAAGAAAAAAAAAAAAAGTTTAAGATTTATCTTGCCTGAAGAGAAATGGTGGAGGTTTATTGTTCTTTGCCAGAGTACCAAAGACTATGTTTCATGCCAATAATAACAATTATAATGGGGTTTCTTCCAATACATTATTGTAGAAGAATTTCAAGTGTATCTGGTCTGGACACCATAAACATAGTCCCATACTGCAGTAATTAATTACCTATCTCTTGTAAAGACCAAATTAGTATAAATATATACTTTTTTTTCCAATTTTCAGAGGCTTACCATATCTTTATAATACTAAGCAAGGGAATTAATACTAATACAAAATGAAATGCATAAACCCATTTCTTACCCCTGGTTTTGTCTCTCCTCCTGCTTCTCAAACAAGAAAATTTCTAGGGCAATTTTTTACACCGAAATACAACCACCAACACAATACTGTTACATAAAAAAAAAAAAAAAAATGCAGCAAATAAGAGTTTAAAAAAACAACAATAACCCGTTCCATACAATTTATTAACATACGGTAAACGGGAATCCTCCTTTTTTATAAAACTCGTTCTAAATCAACACTCCATTGACAAAAAAAAGTTTAGAAGCCACATTCACCTCAATAAGCAACAACTACACACTCAAAAACTACAAAACTACCCAAACTTTATAGAATAAGTAATGACTTATTACGAGAAGAAAAAAAATCTTGAGGTCAACTACTTAAGTGTCACACCTCATCAACTTCACGCTTTATGACAAATTAAAGAAAGAAAACGCCAAAATATGTCACTCAACGGGCTGACATAGACCTTTAATTACCTTATACTAGGTGAAAGTCATTGTAAATGGCATAAAATAGGCGACTGTCAAGAGAGGAGGAGGAGGAGGACACGGCTGGCTGCGGGAGATAAACAAACCTCTCCTTCTGATGCGGACGAAGACGTCTTTGAAGTCATCGTCTTTTCGTCTTTGAAGTCATTGTCTTTTTTGAGCTTTTATTGAATTTGGAACTTTTATTTAATTTGTATTTTGTTGTGTAAGTGTAAATTTATGTGCTGAATAGGAATTTGATTTTTATTTTTATTTGATGTTGTAGATTCTGATGGATTATTGTGGCGTCTCTACATGTCTTTGAAGTCATCGTCTTATTTAATTTGGAATCTAAAATTGTAATCATATATTGTCAGATAAATGTAAATTTATGTATTGAATAGGAATTTGATTTTATATATACTTGGTGTTGTAGATTCTAATGGGTTATTGTGGCGTCTCTACATGTCTTTGAAGATGTCTCCAGCATATGCAAATGGAGACAACCACATCGCGTTACGCCCTTCGTTTTGATACGAATAATGAATATGAAATTAAAAATTAATTAAAAATAATGCATTTACTCTAGGTGCCTGAATAAAAGATAACTTTTTAGACTTTGTCTTATTACAACAAAGACAAATTCACTGCATTTCGCCGTTTATCTCTATAATGCCTTATTAGCAATACCAAAAATTCTGATACTTTATCTTTTATCTTTTCATTATTGTTATATTGTAATATAAGGAATGTGTGGTTTATATTCTGTGCAATGAAAACATGATGTGGTTTTGTGATAATGAATTCCAATATACAACTGAAAAAAAATCTAGGCGTTCAAAGTCTATATAATTTTCATTCGCAAAGAAATTTCAGACGGTATGATATAGCGTACAAACTTTATTCATACTTTTTTTTTATATTCACCTATACCCGGCCTTCTACTTTCCCAGGAAATCAAGGAGGCATTAACTTTTCAAATACCTATAGTAGTTTTTATTTGAATATGTGAAACCGAGCACAAAAGAGAGAGAGAGAGAGAGAGAGAAAGAGAGAGAGAGAGAGAGAGAGAGAGAGAGAGAGAGAGAGAGAGAGAGAGAGAGAGAGAGAGAGAGAGAGAGAGAGAGAGAGAGAGAGAGAGAGAGAGAGAGAGACAGACAGACAGACAGACAGACAGACAGACAGACAGAGAGACAGAGAGAGAAAGAGAGACAGAGAGAGAAAGAGAGAGAGAGAGAGAGAGAGAGAGAGAGAGAGAGAGAGAGAGAGAGAGAGAGAGAGAGAGAGAGAGAGAGAGAGAGAGAGAGAGAGAGAGAGAGAGACAGACAGACAGACAGACAGATAGACAGAGAGAGAGACAGAGAGAGAAAGAGAGACAGAGAGAGAAAGAGAGAGAGAGAGAGAGAGAGAGAGAGAGAGAGAGAGAGAGAGAGAGAGAGAGAGAGAGAGAGAGAGAGAGAGAGAGAGAGAGAGAGAGAGAGAGAGAGAGAGAGAGAGACAGACAGACAGGCAGACAGACAGAGAGAGACAGATATTTTGATTTGATTTGACAAGTTTATTGAGACAAAATCTTACATCTCAAAAGGATGAGGTAATGTAGGTTATCCTCACTCCTATCTTAATAAGTCCCTATGTGGGCTCACATCTCACATCCAACACATAGGTATATCAACAGATGAGACACATACGCACATCTCCAGTGGATCTGTCTAGTCCAGTGAACAGATATCTATGGTTAAGACACGTTTACACTATCATCAGTACTTCGTTGTTCACGCTTCCCGCCTGAGTCCGGTCGTGAGCCAGGTCAAACGCAACTGCTCATGTCAAGTGCGAAACTATGCATAAATAAATGGTTAACTCTGTCTGCTTTCGGTGTACATCTGGGTGAGATTTTTACTGGGTTACTCTATATTATGTTTATCCAATATTTCTCGAATGTTGCCTATTTATCTTGCATAACTTCCATTATTTTTTTTCAAGAGGCTTTCTTTCTCCTGATCTTTGCACTTCAGTAGGAGTGACCTTACGTCCGCAGAGGATGTTCCTCCCACTACATTCGCTATTATTTTCCTTTCCATTCCCTGAATTTTTATCTTACAGTCTACAATCTGTTCCTCTGCAGGACCACTAACATTATATTTAATTTCTGCGTCTTGGCGGGGGGGGGGGGTCTGTGACAGCCTCCTCTCCCTGTTTCTGTTCCTCGGTTTTCTGTCCATAAATCGTGCCAGCTCTTTCCACATTACATCCATTCTCTGCATCAGTGTCTGCAGCATCCGGGTGATTACCGATACTTCCTTCCTAGAAAAATCCGCATCACTCCTCCGGGACACTTCCTTCACTTCCTGCACCTGTCGGTCGTCCTGAGGTTGATCGCTGCCCATGTGTGGTGCCACTCTCCTGTACCCCGCTCAAGAGATGAATATTCCCTCTGGCACTTCCCCTTTCAGGAGGGCAACGAGCTGACTCCGTTCCTCGCCCCTGGACGCGTGCCTCTTCACCCACACAAATCTGTTTTCCCCCAGCCTTTGGGATAGTCATCACTGTCCCCTTGTATCCCTGAGCTGCTAGGGTCTGCTCCGCCTCACCTGCCCGTACCGTGAG